CGGAATTCCCTAGAGCAGGCAAGGAACACTTTGGAACACTTGACTGGATGCCCCGCACCATGATAACTGCTGGCATTTCCTTTGTATTTCCCTTGATTCCTTGGTTCGATTTTCAGTCAATTATGAAGCGTTCCAAAAATACCAACTGCTTCAAAGTGTTAACAGTGTAACTTCTCAGACTTTATGTGACCCCCACCCACCCTTCAGTTTTAACTGTGATCTTTTTATATTTGTCCCCAGCTTTCCCCCAAATATCTAAGGCGTGTGCTGTGTTACACACTCAAGCTCACGTGAGCTGGAAGCGGCTTCATCTGTGACCCCAGCACCCAAAATTCCTCCTTATTCCAGAGGCTTTCTGGGGGACAATCTTGGTCTCTTTTCGTGAAAATGTATTTTCCAGACTATTTCAGAATTCTCTTTTACAAGAAAGGAGTGTGGACTACAATTACAAATGCTTCAGCCCTTCCCACCTGATAATGAACTCGGCTTCATGTGCAGGTGTGTGGTCAGAGGGGTGGGTCTCAGACTGGGCTACCCACAGCGTCATCTAGAAGATTCTGAAAGCATTGAAAGCCAAACCTGATGCTCAGGCACTAGTCCAAGGTGGGATCGGGGTCCTGGGAGTTTTGGAATCTTCCTAAGTGACTTACTCCAATGTCAGGTTAAAACCCAGGACATTGGGTTACAAAGCAAACAGGGCTGTGTGCTGCTGCTCTGGCCTGTTGCAAGCCTGACTTACACTGGGTCATGTGGGTCTAACACCACAGAGAGAAAAAGAATTGTGGTATACCCGTGGCCTGTGACATGAAATCCTTGTGAGGGGGTCCTATTCATGCTCCCTGTCCTGTCCTGTCCTGTCCTATCCCATCATATCCTATATTAGAACAGAATTTACCTTTAACACACTTAATGATATCAAAGTTCACACCCACCGCTGTCATGAATAGATCTCTTCCACAATTTCTTATGCTAATCATCCTGTGCACTCCCTTGTTAGAAGTCAGAACTCGCTCACCTCTGGCGACTGGCTCGCTAAGGTAAGTTGTAATTTTATTCCCACTGGTGTTAGCATCAAGGAGTTACTGCATCTCCCTGAAGGAGGCATCGCTTAGCAACCGAGTGTTTCCATATGTCTTCCTCCATTTGAATTGCTCTCCCATCTTTTGACATCATTTTCTTTTTTCTGTCCCCAGAGACTCACCTATAGCTAGAAAAATAGCCTCTCGCCTTCCTTATTACAGAGCTGTTTTTCTCGTATTTTCAAATACAATCAGATATTTATCATCATCCAAACTGTTGGATTGTGGTGATATTGTGGGAAAGTCAAATGACATTTGACTTTCCCTGACTGTGATAAAATACCCTGATGTAAGGAACTTCATGACGGAAGGGTTTGTTGGCTCACAGTTCCAGGTACAGACCATCATGGCCGAAAGCCTCAGCTGCAGGAACGTGAGGCAGCTGGTTGCACTGCATCCACAGCCAAAAAGAAAAGAGTGATGGGTGCTTATGTTCAGCTCACTTCTTTTCCTTATAGTCTAGAATCCCAGCCCAGGGAATGGTGCTACCCCCAGGGGGCAGTTCTTCCCACCTCCAATGACGTAATCAAGATGCACCCTCCCAGGCATGTCCAAAGATTAGTTTCTCAGGTGATTCTAGAACTCATCAAGTTGACAATTAAGATAAACCATCAAACAATGTCAGATGATTCCTTTTTTATTGTTGGCTGGCTGATGGTAGTCTCAATGTTTGCCATTCTCTTTTCCTCTCTGCACATACCTTCTATAGGCCCTACTTCGTTTTGTATAAAAAGAATGTCTGCAAATAGATCCATATTTATCACCGTGCACAAAACTTAAGTCCAAGTGGATCAAGGACCTCAACATAAATCCAGCTACTCTGAACCTGCTAGAAGAGAAAGTAGGAAGTAGTCTTGAACGCATTGGCATTGGAGACTACTTCCTAAATAGAACACCAGTAGCACAGACTCTGAGAGAAACAATCAATCAATGGGACCTTTTGAAACTGAGAAGCTTTTGTAGAGCAAAGGATACGGTCAACAAGGCAAAGCGACAGCCTACAGAATGGGAAAAGATCTTCACCAACCCCACATCTGACAGAGGACTGATATCCAGAATATATAAGGAACTCAAGAAATTAGACATCAAAATGCCCAACAGTCCAATTAAGAAATGGGCTATAGAACTAAACAGAGAATTCTCAACAGAGGAAACTCAAATGGCCGAAAGACATTTAAGGAATTGCTCAACATCCCTAATCATCAGGGAAATGCAAATCAAAACAACTCTGAGATACCACCTTACGCCTGTCAGAATGGCTAAGATCAAAAACACTGAAGACACCTTATGCTGGAGAGGATGTGGAGCTAGGGGAACTCTCCTCCACTGCTGGTGGGAATGCAAGCTTGTACAACCACTTTGGAAATCAATATGGCGCTTTCTTAGAAAATTGGGAATCAATCTCCCCCAAGATCCAGCTATACCACTCTTGGGCATATACCCAAGAAATGCTCAACCACACCATAAGAGCACTTGTTCAGCTATGTTCATATCAGCATTGTTTGTAATAGCCAGAACATGGAAACAACCCAGATGCCCTTCAACTGAAGAATGGATAAACAAAATGTGGTACATATACACAATGGAATACTACTCAGCAGAAAAAAACAATGGCATCATGAGGTTTGCAAACAAATGGATGGATCTAGAAAAAATCATCCTGAGTGAGGTAACCCAGACTCAGAAAGACAAACATGGTATGTACTCACTCATAGCAGGATACTAGACATGAAACAAGGATGAATTGTCTGCTACTCACATCACCAGGGAGGCTACCCGGAAAACAGGACCCCAAGAAAGACACAGGGATCGCCCAATGACAGAGAAATGGAATGAGATCTACATGAACAGCCTGGACATGAGTGGGGGTAATGAAAGGCGAGGGTCGAGGGAAAGAGAGCTTGGGGGAGCGGGAGATCCCAGCTGGATCAACAACAGAGAGGGAGAACAAGGAATAGGAGACCATGGTAAATGAAGACCACATGAGAACAGGAAGAAGCAAAGTGCTAGAGAGGCCCACAGAAATCCACAAAGATACCCACACAACAGACTGCTGGCAATGGTCGAGAGACAGCCCGAACTGACCTACTCTGGTGATGGGATGGCCAAACACCCTAATTGTTGTGCTAGAAACCTCATCCAACTACTGAGGGATCTGGATGCAGAGATCCATGACTAGGCCCTGGGTGGATCTCTGGGAGTCCAATTAACGAGAATGAGGAGGGTTTATATGAGCGAGAATTGTTGAGACCAAGGTTGGATAAAGCACAGGGACAAATAGCCAAATGAATGGAAACACATGAACTATGAACCAATGGCTGAGGGGTCCACACTGGATCAGGCCCTCCGAATGGGAGAGACAGTTGATTGGCTTGATCTGTTTGGGAGGCATCCAGGCAGTGGGACCAGATCTTGTGCTCATTGCATGAGTTGGCTGTTTGAAACCTGGGGCCTATGCAGGATTGTTTGGCTCGGCCTGGGAGGAGGGGACTAGACCTACCTGGACTGAGTCTACCAGGTTGACCTCAGTCTGTGGGGAAGGCTTTGCCCTGGAGGAGATGGGAATGGGGGGGGGGGCGTTGGGGGGGGGAGGTGAGGGGGACGGGAGGGGGGAGAACAAGGGAATCCGTGACCGATATGTAGAACTGAATTGTATTGCAAAATAAATTAAAAAAAAAAAAAAAAAAAAAAAAAAGAATGTCACTTTGGTTTTAATCCTTGAGTTTTCCCTATACAATTCACTAACTGTTTAAGCTTAACATATCTTAAGTGAATTGACCTACAGACTGTGTTGCGGTAATCACTACCAACTGTTTTCTATGCAGCTTTGACTAAACTTCTGGTCTCTGTTTTCACCTTTCTGTTTTTCCTTTCCTTTTCCCTCAGGCTCCTTTTCTCCCCGCGCCGCCCCCCCCCCCCCCGCCCCCCGCCCCCAATCTAACCTCTCTTTTGTCTGTGTGTCAAGTGCTAACTGGGTGCCTTGATTTAAAAACAAAGGAACAAATAAAATACTTAGTTCTCTTTAGAGTTTTATACAGAACGTATTAAAAATTTTAGGGCCACAGACATGGTTCAGCCTGAGTGAATACCTGAGATATTTTGGATCCTTAAAACTCCTGTAAAAAGCTGGACACAGTGGGACACACCTGTAATCCCAGGGATGAGATGGGTGTAGGAAACAGGAGGATCCCTGGAGACTGGGGGGCCTGCCTATGTGGCAAGTTCCAGGCCAATGAGAGACCCTATCTCAAGTAGAGACAGAAAGCATTGGAGGACTGGCATCTGAGCTTGTTCTCTGAGCTCCACATGTATGCCATATACACACATGCGTGCACACACACACACACACACACACACACACACACACACACACACGTTCACTTAAGTAAAAATTTAGAGCTGGAGACTTTCAGTTAAAATCAGAGAAAAAATATTTTTCGCATTAATGTGAAACAATGACAAATAAAACAAGATGAATCAACAAAGAAAAGAAACAGCATGGCAATTTCTGGAACCTTCTGATTTCCTCATGGTTGCAAGTAGGCATACCTGCTGGAGCACTGGCAGTTTTTCCTTTTGGATAAACCACAGTTTAGTTTTATACTCTACGAGGCAATGCTTAATAAAAATTGCTGAGAGAATGAAAGGTCGTTATTTCCTGGGACTTATTATGCCCAAATTTAGTAAAGCCTGAAGAATGCTTTATTGGCTTCATTAATCATTAATGGTTGGGGTGATTCTGAATCCACTGAGAATCACATCGTGCAGAGAAATAAGCAAATTTATACAGGAAAAATCTGGCTTAGACTAATGCTATCATTTATACTATAGGTCCTATATACTGGAAATAATGAGTTGTGATCAATCATATTTTATTGCTAATTTTAAGTATAAGCAAATGTTAATTACAAAATCACTTGCCATGACATCATATGACTCTCCATTTCTAAATACTTTGCTTCGGCTCTGTATGATTCCTTGGACAATTAACTCTTCCAGGATGTCTGATGACTTTGGTCGCTCCCGACTTTCCAGGAGTTGGGGTTTATTGATTATTCCATTGGCCACTGTGTCATCTAAAAGGAAAAGCATAAAGAAAAAGAAATTTAAGAATAAAGAGTTTATCTCTCAGTGCTAAATGGGGGCTGGAGAGATAGCTCTGTGGGTAAGAGAGCTTATTGTGAAATCACAAGGACCCAAGTTCAAATCCTCAGCACCCATGTAAAATGTCTGGCATAGTTATCATGCCCACAACCCCAGCGCTTGTAGGGGGACAGGGGATAGAGCCAAGAGGACCGCTGAGGCTTGCTGCCCTTCAGTCTAGTTGCAGGTCCACCAAGAAAACAAGGTGCAGAGTGGTAGAGCAGGACACCAGGACATCTTTTTCTAGCTCCATGTGCACCTGCACACGGTCTAGGGTACACAACACACACACACACACACACACACACACACACACACACACACACACACACCCCATCCTCACACACATACATGCATAAAGTAAATAATTTAAAGCTCTCAATGAGTACCTTATGTAAGTCACCAAACCAAATCTTATCTCAACACTTTTGTCTAAATATCTGGTTTCTTTTTAAATAATTCTATCTTTCTTATTTATTTATTTATTTATTTATTTATTTATTTATTTAATGTGTGCATGTGTGTCACTGCGTGAGTGTAGAGGTCAAAGGAGAATTTGGGGAAGCTGGTTCTGCCCTTCCACCGCGGGCATTCCAAGGCCTGAACTCAGGTTGGTAATGCCTACCTCCACAGCCCCAGTATCTGTTTTCCACTATAAAGCTCTATAATTCTTTGAAGTTCAAGTTTTTGCTGTCTTTGCAGAACAAACACATCAGCATCATCTATTCTTTACGTAGCGAGTGTCATGTGAACAGAATCAAGTCCGGTCCTCACGCTGCTATGTACAGCCTCTTTGTTGTAACAACATTCATACACTCGGGTCAGATGACACTGATTTGCTCCACTAATTACAACGCTCAACTGCAGCTGAGGCTGGAGACATTCTTCTGGTGACTCTTCTGAGCTGCAGTTTGGTTTCTATGCTTTGTATACAAACGGTAAACAGTGTGAAGTTGCCAAGGGCTGTCTGGTTCTGCAACCCTGGTATACAGTTTCACCATCTGCTAAATCTACAGAGGGAAAGCATGCCTTTGTGGAAAGAGCCCTTGAAAGGGACCAGAACTCCAGATCAGCTAAGATCTTATTAATGATTTTAAAGATGAACCCCGGAGCCGGTTGCAGGAGTGGATTTATGACCTGTACTCTTGAGACAGGCCTCCTCATCGCAAATCACCCATGAGCAGAACCCGCCACCTCCGCACCTTTAGATCATAAAATAAAGGGTGCAGGCTTGTTAGCCCAAAGATGCTTCTGCTTCCCCAGTCAGAAATGACACTGTGCAGAGCCCTCTGAAGTGAGTTCTCTTCAAAAAGTCCACTGTGTTCAGTGGATGGAGGCTTTCACAGCTGTTCCTAAACTCCGTGGTTACAAAGACAACTTTCATGAGTTTCTGTGGTTTGAAAACATATGCAGAGCTGGCGTGCATGCTGGCCAGCTGTTTCTCATTTCAAACCATTAGTCCACCTGTCACAAGAAAGTGCTTGACTGAACATCACCTGGCGTCAATACAGGGCCAGGCAGCTCAGTGCTTTCCAGTGCTGGCTCTTCAGCCTTGTGGGTGTGTGAAATGGAGCCCATTATCACTGCAAAGTGCTCTGTGCTGAGTCTTACAGAATGCACTCAAGCTGGGTGGTGGTGGTGCACACCTTTAATCCCAGCACTTGGGTGGCAGAGGCAGGCAGATCTCTGTGAGTTCCAGGACAGTCAGGGCTGTTACAGAGAGAAACCCTGTCTCTAAAAACAAAACAAAACAAGACAAAACAAACAAACAGCAACAACAACAAAAAGAAAGTGCTCAAACATGTAAGCAGATTGGAACCTTGGTAACACGGGCAAAAATCCAATGTAAAGGTCACAGGTAAATCTCTCCATGGAATCAGAGTGATTTTTTTTTGTCATTATTGTTAAAAGGTGGCCTTTCCTAGAGTGGGAACACATGCCCTTAAGTCTAAAACTTAGGAGGTGGAGGCAGAAGAATCAGGAGTTTCATGCCACCCCTGGCTATTTGAGACCCTATCCCAAAGCCAAAATGAAAACAAATTTTAAAAAAAGTGGACTTACCAGGAAGGGCTATTAACATAGTAATAACTACTATTTATTTACTGGTACTGTGCTAAGCACTTTATAATCTGTGCAGTATGTTCTGTTGTGGAATATTAGTTGAAGATGTGTTATGTTTGTTTGTGCTGTAGAACATTTGTTTAATGATGCAAAGATGTGTTGCGTTCTTTTATGTTGTTTTTGTTTAACTCTGTAAAGCTGTGATACTTTGCCTGTCTAAAACACCTGAATAGGCTAATAAAGAGCTGAATGGCCAATAGTTAGGCAGGAGAAAGGATAGGCAGGGCTGGCAGGCAGAGAGAATAAATAGGAGAAATCTGGGAAGAGAAGATTGAGGAATGAGAAAAGGAGGAGAGGAAGACATCAGGGGTCAGGCACCAAGTTACAGAGCAAGCCACAGAGTAAGAAGAAAGTTATATAGAATAGAGACAGATAAAAGCCCAGAGACAAAAGGTAGATGGGATAATAAGTTAAGAAAAGCTAGCTAGAAATAAGCCAAGCTAAGGCCGGGCATTTATAAGTAATAATAAGTCTCTCTGTATGTGTGTATTCATTTGGGAGCTGGGTGGCAGGTCCCCAAAAAGTAAAGAGCAAAGAGTAAAACCATCCAACTACAACATTCAGTTCAAACATGGATCTGTGAGAGAGGTGCTATTGTCTCTATAGGCACACGGATAGAGGTTAATTGCTCAAGGGGATGAGACTAGTTAGAGTGGTAACTAGGACTGAATCCAATTTCAACACCAAGTTCTCATCCTCGCTATTCTCTCTCCTAACTATGCTATTTGAGTAGCTGAACCACAAGCACTCCATCTCTCTCTCCCCAATGTTTCCAAAAGGATGTCACTAACATCAAGAAGTGAATAGAACCATTCCAACCCAATGTCTTGTGAGTCTACTAAAGTATTTGTCTTTACAGGTATAGTAAGTACCGTAGACCGAGATTCTTTGGAAATGTCAATCATTCCAACTCATTCTACTTAAGGCAGGAGGGGAGGTTTTACTTTGGCTCACAGTTGGGAGAAGCACAGTCGTCTCAGAGGTGAAGGCAGACACTGGGAGCAGATTGGTCTGCGGCACTGACCAAGACGTGCTCGGGTGGATTCCTCCCCTTTCCCTTTCAGTCTAGGACCCCAGCTTACGGGATGGTGCCACCCACATCCATTGTGGGTCTCCCCTCCTCAGTTCATCTGCTCTGAAATCATCCTCACAGACACAGCTGAGATGTGTCTGTCTCAGGCATGTCTTAGGTTTGTTGACATTGTCAAGTTGACAACTGAGTTTAAGCACCATCTAAAGGGGATGCTCAATAACTTAGTGACTTTAGAGGAAAACACCCCAAATGGAGGAACAGTGTGGGAAATGAATGGCAGGAATACATTAAAGTCTTCAAATATGGAAAAGGGCCTGGGTAGGTGTCTGGCAGCCAGGCAAACACTTGCTGTACAAGCATAAGGACTGGAGTTTGTACCCCAAGAACCTGAACAAAAGCTGGGTGAATGTGATATTATACCTGCAATCCCGGCATGCAGGAAGCAGAGACAGGGACTTCCTGTCTCCCCAGATGGCTAGTTAAAACAATAAGCTCTGGCTTTCCCAAGGCACTCTGCCTCTCTCTATAAGGGAGGCATCAATTGAAGAAGATACCAACCTTAGGCCTCCATACACACACATGCACCTGTACCCACACATGTACTCACATACACGCAAACATTATTTTATCAGCCAGATCTCCTGAAAATGGAGTTATAAGTGTTAGTGAGTTACCTGATATGGGTGCTGGGAATACACCCAGGTCCTCTGTATCAGCAATAAGTGCTCATAACCACTAAGCCAGCACTCTGGCCTTATCCCAGCTATTTTCCAATCTTAACTTGCAGTGAGAGAAAAAACAACAGGGCCATGGAACAAAAGTTTTCCCTGAACTAAAACAATGTTCTTTCCCTCCAGATCTGTGTTGTTCACTTTGTTCTAAAGGCAGACCCACTATAAATAAGATGTCATCACTCAACAGCAAGGAAGAGCTCGAAGGAAGGGAAACCACAGCATTGCATCAGAAGGGCCACAAATAGCGCTTTAAATAGCACACCAGCTCGTAATGACCTCTTTTATGTTTTTACTGTGTATTTGCTCAGGTTGTGGATGGGGCAAGGGAGGGGGCAGCTTAATGAAGATTTTATTTATTCTTCCAAACGTAAACCTCTCCTTTAGGAAGATGACAGCACAGTGGGGGCTTACATTCCCTTAAGCCATGTGATTTCTACCCCTAAAATTTGTTTTCAGTTCTCAACAAGGGCTCTTGCTGTTGCTGTTTTAAGATGACTTTAATTATTTCATCCACAAGATGAATGGCTAACATTAGTCACTCACATGATAAAGGCCTAAAACTAAATTCTAATATCTTAGAGATAAGAACCTTGCTGTTTAAAGTACATTAAGACCCCAAAGAAGTGATCAATGGGCTATCAGATACATATACTATATATTTAGGGGTCTACCAGATGTCTAGTAGAGATCAACAAGAACAGAGGCAAAGGTTACCTAAATTTATGCTCCCATTTATTTTACTTGGAGGTGGAGAACTTTCTGGAATAGTCCCAGGCAAGCTTCCTATCTGGGCTTGTTGGTACAGACTTTCAGCATTGTCTACAGTGTCCTTGGACCGTGCAGCTTCAGTTTGGGGGCTGCAATTCTCTTTGGAAGAAGTCACTCTGACATCAGCCTGTGAAAAGAGAACAGCTTGGTGAGATTTCCTAGGAAAATGAGAACAATATAGCAGGTCTGCTTTGTGAGCACTTACCAATTAGTGACTGTAGTAGTCTGATTAGTGATCATAGCCTATGGATGCTATGTTATACAGCCAAATGACCTAGCAGATGTGATTATATAATGCTCTCAGGATGGTAAGGCTATTGGAATTATTCATGTGAACCCCAGATGCAATCACAATTGTTTTTTATAAGAGACAGACAGAGAGGTTTGAATATAAAATGTCCCTAAAGGTTCATGTATTGAAGGCTTGGTCCCCAGCTAGTAGCCCTGTTGAGAGGTGGCTTGATCATAAGAATGATAATCTCACCAATGCAGTGACTCCTTGATGCATCATAGCTGAATGGGCTTAGGATGTGGTAATACAGGAAATAGGTCATTGAGGGGTATATCCTGTCTCTGGACCCTTGCTCTCTGGCTGTCTCTACTTCCCATTTGCAATAAGATGAGCAGCTTTGCTCTCTCAAGCTCTCTGCCATTATGCTTTGCCTCACAGCAAAGGACCAAGTGCCCATGGATTGAAACCTCTGAAACATCTAGCAAAAATAAATCTTTCCCACTTAAGTTGTTTATCTAAAGCATTTTTTTGTCAGAAAATTTACTAACATGGAAAATTATTGATACTGTGAGTAGGCCTGTTACTGTGGCTGCTCCCGATTGTGTTGTTCAGCACCTTATGGAACTGGATTATGGTTGAAACTTGGAAGAGTTGGAGATACAGGCTAGAGAACTCCAGAATGCTATAAGCAGAGTTTAGTGGGAAGTCACGAAGGGAGCTCAGAAATCCAAAATACAACAGAAATGCTGATAGTAACTGTTCCCGAGAGGTTTCAAATGCAAGTGAGAACTCTATTGGGAATTAGACAAGGGGATATGAGCTTAAATTCTGGCAAAGGACTCTACATTCTACCCGTGCCCTGGGAGTTTGTGTAAGGCTAAATTTCAAGTTGACAATCTATTAGAAAACGTTCAAGGGAATAAAACATTCACATTGTGGCATGGATATTGCTAGTTTCTTTCAGCCCAATTTACAGTGAAACCTGGTAGCAAAAATCAGAGTAAAAGGAATAGAAAAAACTTGTGATAGGGACAGAAAAAGATTGTTTATGGTTGGTAAGGAAATTAGCACCATTAAAAAGGAAGCCAAGTACTTGCCTTTGAGATAACAGGAAAAGTACCTGGAAGCCATCAGGAATTGGCCTGGTGGCCTCCATCAATGCTTCATTATAACGACTGGAAAGACTGCTTTGAAATGAGAGCTCTAGAGAACCTTCCAGAAAAGAACTTTTCTGTGTTTAGTCATCCATGTACACAGGCTGTTGGAATTCTGACCCACTCCTTGGGGATCGGCCCTGTGTCCTGATGTAAAGTCCCCTTTAAAAAAGAAAGCTCCCCCTCCTCTCTCTCTTTCCTTCCATTCCCACGAGGTGTGCACCCTCAGCCCGCTTTCTCTTTCTGTCTTTCCCCCTTCCCTCTTTCTTCCCCCCACCAAATAAAACTATTCACCGAGCACTGCCTGCATGGTGTCTCTGTCTCTCACCCGCCGTGGGGCACCTTGGCTCCAAACCCACCCAAGGCCCCGTGCTGCATCATTACATTGGTGCTGCCTGACTGGGCAGGCTTCCTCCGGCGTTTTCTCCTCCCCACTGGCAGTTTGAGAAATGCTGGGACCCTGTACTGCCTAACACCATCACTTCTGCTGACTCTTCACCCTATTGGTAAGATTCCCTCCTTCCCTTCTGGCCGTCTACCACAAGTGAGGATTCATCTTGTCAACAGAGGTTTCTGGAAGACCTGGTACTGGGCACCACATGCCTCGGGCTTTCAGCCCTCAGGCCCTGTTCCTATGCAACGGCATATGGCACAGCTGCTGCCACTCACTCCATGGCCCATAACCTTTTACGATGATCCACTGGCTATCTTAAGCCATTATTGGTCCTCACTGACCTTCTGGGACACTGGAGGTCAGTCTGTTGGACCTTCTACCTCACTGTGGAAAATGTGCATACCACCTAAATGCCTCATCCTTCTCTTTGTCTCTGTTGCCTGGTTTTCTCCTTCTGCAGCCACCACGGCCCTGTCATGACCTAGGGGGTGGAGGCCTCTCTCCCACCTGGCTACACTGCTACTCTGTTTCCCAGTCTCCTCTACAGCACTGCCTCCAAGGTCCAATACATTAGCTGTGAAAGTTTCCTGGAAAAAATTTTCTCCGTCTTTCTTTTAAAAAGTCTATTTCTTATGTGTGGATAAAAATACATGATTGATGTGGCTACTTGTATGTATTTCTGACGGACTCTTAAATGCTTCCGTTTATCTGTTTATTATCTGTTCAGTTTGTCCTGGGGAAAAAAAAACACGTGATCAGACGCCAGAGGGCAGTCAAGTGGGCAGACACCATCTTGGCTAAGGTCAAAGAGGACAGGTTGTATGACCTCACTGCCATCTTTACTAAGGGCAGCAAAAAATCACTTCCTGTCAGTGGCTCAAGCATGGGCAGGGTGCCCAGCACTCAAGCCATCTGTACAGGGAGTAGGTCAAGAAAGCACCACCTCATGCCAATGCCCAGCAGGTCCAGTCTCATCCTGGTGTTCATTCCTCCACTGCTGCTGCCCCCCTCCCCCGCCCCAGGCTCCACATGCTGGTGATAGGGCCAACTTGCCAGCTCATTTTATAGATTAAAAAAAATCAAGCCTGCCGGGCGGTGGTGGTGCACACCTTTAATCCCAGCACTCGGGAGGCAGAGCCAGGCGGATCTCTGTGAGTTCGAGGCCAGCCTGGACTACCAAGTGAGTCCCAGGAAAGGCGCAAAGCTACACAGAGAAACCCTGTCTCGAAAAACCAAAAAAAAAAAAAAAAAAAAAAAAAAAAAATCAAGCCTTACTTTTCCTAAAGCTACTAAGTCTCTCAACATAAATAAATGATTTAAATGTTTCAGATTATTTTCCCCTTCTATGATATTGTTATATTAAGATTTTAAAAGTTCAGATTTTAACATTAATACAATTCTCATATTGCTTGGGTCACAAGCTCAGGATTTTAAATATTCCTTGGTTGTCTTCTAAATATAAACTTAAACTTCTCATCAGGCCAAAGACATCTCTGTCCAATCTGTACCTGGTTCTCTCTAAACAAAAAATTATACAAACCTTTTAACCCAAATCTATAATTTTGCTAGGACTCAAAGGTATGGGCCTCAATATCCATTACCTGCACCTGCTTTTCTATGATTTAAATTTCAATACTGGTTGATAATACTAATATATCTAAAACTTTTATGTCCTTTTATAAAATAAGAATTCATATAAGCCTCAGAGGATCCACTTCACAGAGGTCAAAATAGCTCCAGATAAATGAGTTTTCCTCACCTGTCTATTTCTGAGGATGGTGTTTTTGTCTCTCCTGGTCTGCCTTTCTCAATTACTAAGACCATAGGCCCAAAGGCTCCAAATAAGCTCATAAATTTTAACTTTTGTCTCTATCTGCTTTGGCAGATTCCCACTTGGCTGGCAGACACATCTAAGCATCAATTGCTGCAATCTGCTCCAAAGGATGATGAGCTCTAGACTTACTGAAGGCTGATATGATGTGGACCACTTCAACCAAGTGTAATTTTTCCCTGTCCCTACAGTCAGATCAGATGACCACATGCTTTTGATAAATACCCCAGTGCCTGGGTTCCCTCCTTACTTTTGACTAGCCTCTTGGCCTCCTTGGGCTCTGACCTCCTGCTCCCCATTTCAGCTTGAAGCAGCTATAGAAGAGCATCATCCCTGCCCCCTCCAAACAAACAAACAAACAGGCTAAAGAGGTATGTCAAAGAAAAACCCCTGGCATTGGGGACAAATTGTCTACCTAATGCCCATTGATATACCAGGAAACTGGATCCAATATTGTCAATTGATTTTTCAACTAAAATGGTTCTGCAATTGGATAAGATACTTGATCTTTATGCAGAACAAAAGAGATATTATATGACCTTAAGAAATAATTATTTCTATATAAATCATTCAGGATTATAATCTGGCTGTACTCAAAGATCAAAACTACAGGGATAAGCTTTACTTAGTCCCTTGCACATGTTTTCAGGGTTGAGCTTAAAACAAGTAACTAGAAACAAAGTTTATTTATTCAGATATACCTGGACAGTCTTCAAATACTTCAGAGATCTGCAGAATATGGCATCTAAAATGTTTAACTAAAAAGCTTTCATGATAGAGGGACATGCTGACTCCTGGCAGGACCTTTATATCCTCCAAAGAAGAAGGCTGGGCACAGAAAAACCTCCACCCAGAACTTGCTCCAGAGTGGCAGCATAAGCCACTGAGATGGGCACAGAAGAACCTCAACTGCTGCCAGGGCCTTCTTCAGACCATGGACAACAGGACTTCTGGAACCCATTGCCTCACTTTTGCCTAGACAAAGTAGCAGCCTACTTTGGACCATCGTCCTTCCCACAAGTTCCTATCCCACAACCATCAGATCTTCTGAGGCCTGGCAGCCAAAGACTGATATTGTTGACCTGAGAACTCTGCCCTCAATGACCATGGAAGACCCTGGGGTGGTTATCTAGGTAGCCAACAGGTAAGTCTCTGTCACTTTCAATTGCTAACTCAGGTAAAATTTATCCTTCTCAGATCTCTGATTCCATCGGATGACCAGGTTTGCTTCAGCTGCCTTCTCAGTTCTCTGTGTGAAATTCATAGATCTCCCTCTCCTAGGGCTGCTACTAGGTCTAGACACAATTTACCTTGTTATCAGATCAGATAAACTCAAAGAATAAATTTTAATATGACTTTTTACTATTGACTGCTCTTGCTATCCTCTGGAGAATCTGATAAAGAAATAGCTGTAAGGTTTTTTATATGAAGACAGGAAAGCAGTCTCACTTCTGTTCACTCTGATGATGTTTAGGAAAGCCTCCCTCCTCCTTTACTCACTCAACCACTTCCACTC